GCCAAACTAGCCAAATCGGCTAGTAAAGCGAACCCGCCACTGTAGCGTGAGCCGATGTCGGACCACCGTGCTAGAACCCTAAAATTGACCGAAAAATATTTTGACACTGATTTTGGATTTTTTAAAGTATTTTTAAGTACGTGTCGAGTATTTTGGGTTCCCACAGAAAAAATTTAGAAAATTCAGGATCCGATGTGAGGCGTAGTGGACAGTTTGGTATTTCAAAACACTAATTTGGGTAAGAATCTTTATTCTCGGTTACTGTAAATTGAGGATTAATAATTGATAATTGTGTGTTTTGTGAAAAATTAGAAAACCCTAAAAATATTACAGGTCACTAGTGGTGGCTGAACTAATTAGTTCGCATTTGTTCTGATTTCCTATTTATTTTCCTGTACTGCCTAAATTGCTTACTATTATACTGTGCATGTTTACACTAATAGTTTTTATAGTTTTCGCGATTATATGGTTTATTTAGTCCATTCCTATATGATTTATCTGGTTACTCGATTATTGGTTATGATCAATTAAATCCCTTACTTAAATGCTGTTTAAATTGATCAGTGAATATGTCATGAGACGTTGGTATGTTTTGGTGGCTGTTTGGAGAATCTAAATAAATAAAAGCTTACTAGGCATCCTGAGAAAGGGTGGACATACCTGGTACATAGGGAACTCTACCATGGACATTACCTTAATCAGACGGGGCTGAGAAGTCCCATATCGTAAAGATTTTGGGAGATTTAGTTCACCCTCATACCGGATGAGATATCGAGGTGATAGTGTTTTTGACGTCCATTACCGAATGGGGTATGGGGACGATTAAGTTAATTGTCAATTGTTAATACTAGATCCACGAGTAAAGGGATATCCCTATAAACCCTCAGGGGTCTCAGTAAGTAGGTTAAAAAAAAGAAGAATTATGATCCTATGAATAAAATTAAAATGTCATTTAGTTATTCGTCTTCATAAATTAATTTTGGGGGAACTCATAACAGTAATTATGGAATAAACGGTTTTATGTTAAATGTATTTACTTAAAGCAAGGGCTCCATTAATTGTTTTCTTATTTTTACCAATTTTCGATCTTCTGTATCTGTTATTAATGTGATATTCTTAATGGTCTAGTGTAGCTTACTATTTTATTAACTATTTTAAATCAAGAAGATCTAGATCCCGATTAGCAAGAAGGTTGTGAGTAGTTCACCACTCGGACTCCCTTCAAGTGCTAGTGAAGGTTGTCCTAGGATGTTTATTTATTCATTTTTTCTTTAATTACCATTTGTCTTTTAGAATAGACATTCCTGTAACCCTATTGGCATTCTAAATTATTGTGTAAGAAATATAAACTCTAATTTTAGTATTCGCTTTCGCATTTAAATTATAAATTCATTTCCTTTAAATTCCGAACCTTTACAGTTGAGCTGGTGGATTAGATGAAGGGTTATAGTCGAGTAGGGTCGGGCTGTGAAATTGGGTGTGTGGTTCAGGGAAGGTAGGGGTTTAGGGAGGCATTGGGCTGCTCAAAAGATAGAATCTTATAATAGGAGCAAAAAAGAAGTGGGACACTGAGCTAGGAGTTGAATAGTTTTTTTCTATGTAACTCTATTTTAAATTCTTAATTTACCTTACTGGGCTTGTATCTGCTCATTATGTGTTATTTTCATATATGGTAAAACAGGACTTTGAACATCCCACAGAAGGACATAACACTTAAAGGAGGCACAACAATTAAAATACTAGGCTCATCTTGACTCACATATGTATATACAATACTATGCTATTGGTAGTTATATTGGGTCTGTATGCTGAAATTTAAAGTAGTAAGTG